ACTGCAGACAGCAATTGATAAATAAAAGATAAAAGTTTCAGAGCGGATTGGAATGTGCTCGAAATATCACAAGGAATTTAATTCATTACCGTGACGAAGGACAGAAAGGTTCCTATCCAATTAGGAAAAGCAAGCTGCATACCGGCACTGAGCATCATGGAGGGGGGGGGGCATAACAAGAGACCTGAGTGCGTCCTACTGAGGATGCCTGCATTTCGCCATTTTGCCAGCAGCAAAACTTCAATGGACTTTTAGTGGCAGGGAAATCAGCGGTGATTTGGAACGTGCATAGCTGGCATTTCAGCTAAAGAAAGTGATCGAGAAAGACCTCAAAGAACGGCTTTAAATGCAATGATGCATAATGCCAGCGAAGTGCGACAAAACGTGCTCCTTCGATTAACAATGGGCTGGATGAGGAGCCAGCATTATTAGATTTCTTTGAGAAAGTCTTCAATTGGATGTGGCGCATATATTGCATAGCGTAGTGCGTCATGCTGATCGATTACTACCAAAACGCAATAAGCGAACCCGGGCCTCTGTTACCACGTTATCCATCGATTCGAAGAAGAAGACGACGAATAGTCAACTGGCAATTGCAGCAGGTTTCATGGCGTGAGTGTTTGCCAGCATAATTAAGTTTCAATTCGGAGCAGCTGAAAACTTACGCAAACGGAATTAATGTTTGGCGAAGCAGGGAGGTTTACGGAAGCACGATTAACTGGCTTGTCTTTTGAGGTAAGTTCGGTCCGATGTGGCAGAAATTAACTAGTTCTTCCAGAGTTGAAAATTTATATCTTTTTATCAATTCATTAATATATCTAGAACTGAGATTGACAAACTTCAAAAGCGCAGTATCTCGAGAAGGGAGTGTTTCCCATTCGAAATATGTTAAAAAAATTCAACTCATCGTCCAAGCGGAAAGCAGAAATGGCCTGATCGATTCCTCAAGCAGGACTGACCGGATCCTCCTGAATTTTAAACGCTCAGCCATGCATGTTGCTTGATGAGAAACACCGGCAATTGCCGGGGCTCTGGTGTCAGTGTATTTACTGTTGATTGTCCTTAGACAGTTGTGAAAACAGCCAATTTGTCCTGGACATCAGTAGAATAGTAGGCAAAATCGAAAAACTCACGTCTCAGAGTATCACAACTTACCCAGTTGCATCAAAACTCATGAATATTTTAAGATAAACCTTCTTAAACCTCAAGGAATTACTGCTAATGATTATTAGACCACATTCAAGTGTTACTAACATTCTCCCGGGGTAATCAACAGTTCCCTGCTAGCCTAATGGTAGACAGGTTGACTTTCCACATCCTTCCTTTAGAAGGTGCTGTCTGGCACTTGGTGGAATATGCTTATTTTTCTTCAACGACGTCAAACAAAGTCTTTACTAGTTTCGATGCCACGAGAGTTGTAATAGAATTTTGCTGGAGGACTTCCTGGCGATCGAGGCTTGTGTTCAATGTTCGCTTCGCAAGACAGGTCCTACCATCTTTAAAGCCTTGTTTGCAGCCAATTAATCAATTGCAATATGATATTTAATTATTATCTCACAAAGGCGTTCGACAGAAAATCATATCATTACACTCCCATTACGCAACAAAGAATCTTCAATACTTGTTTACCGTCTTCGGCTGTGTTATTTTTTGCCATCTTCAAGCCACTGAGAAGGATGTGCAAGATTTCAGCTCTGCATAACGGCAACTTTCTGCTGTTGTCGACATCTTCGTCTTTCCAAGGCTTGAACAATTTGTTGCTCGCTGTATAGTAACCTCATCTGACACTCGTCTTTCTGCAGCTAATGTATTTCCAGCATACAGGTTTTTTAGTAC